GGATAGATATTGTTTGATTCTTTTTTTTTTTTTAAGATTTTATTTATTTATTCATGAGAGACACATAGAGAGAGGCAGAGACATAGGCAGAGGGAGAAGCAGGCTCCATGCAGGGAGCCCGACGGTGGGACTCGATCCCAGGACTCCAGGATCACGCCCTGGGCTGAAGGCAGTGCTAAACCGCTGAGCCACCTGGTCTGCCCCTGTTTGATTCTTCTTATATGAGGTTCCTAGAGTAGCACAAATTCACAGAAAGTTGTCAGAGACTAAAGATGGGGGAAAATGGGGAGTTCTTGTTTAATGGGTCAGAGTTTCATGGGGAAGATGAAAAAGTTCTGGAGATGGGTGGTGGTGGTGGTGTTTACACAACAGTGTGAAAGTACTTTAACTGTACATTGTAAAAGAGTCAAAATGGTAAATTTTATGTATATTTCACCACAGTTTTGTTTTTTGTTTTTTAAAGAAGAATCAGTGTCTAAAAGGTAAAGATTTGACTGAGATCATTCATTGGTCTTTCATTAAGCAAATGTTTGAGCAACTCCTCCTGTATGCCAGGCACTAATTTAGTCCCATGATACAATGATTCATAAATCAGATAAGGTCTTTGCTTTCATAGAGCTTACGATCTAATAAGGGAGACAGACCACATGGAAAAATATAGATGGGGTGCCTGGTTGGCTTAATTAAGTGTCCGACTCTTGATCTCAGCTCAGGTCTAGATCTCGGTGTCATGAGTTCAAGCCTTGTGTTGGGCCCCACTCTGGGCATGGAGCCTACTTTAAAAAAGAAGAAGAAGAAAAAAGATGAAGAAACAACGTTTATGATCGTGGCAAGGTCTGTGAAGGAAACGAATAAGGTGTGATGAGAAAGTGATAGGGAGGGATCCCTGAGTGGTGCAGCGGTTTGGCGCCTGCCTTTGGTCCAGGGCGCGATCCTGGAGACCCGGGATCGAATCCCATATCAGGCTCCCGGTGCATGGAGCCTGCTTTTCCCTCTGCCTGTGTCTCTGCCTCTCTCTCTCGCTCTCTGTGACTATCTTAAATAAATAAGTTTAAAAAAAAAATTGAAAGTGATAGGGAATGCCGCTGCATTAGAAGAATTCTTGAGTGAAAGCCTCTCTGAGCTAAACAGAGCAGAACATGAGAAGAACAGAAGAGAGCTCTAGGCACAGGGAACAATGGGGGTAAATAAATACTTGGAATGTTCAGAAAACAAAGCATAACCAAGAAAGTAGTGAGTGGTTTGAAAGGAGGATAGAAAGGTAATGGAAGGTAGATGACATTTATTGAACTCTTACTGTGTGCCCAGCACTGTTTCAAGTGTCTTTCATGTATCAACTCATTAGTCCTCACAACCTTATGTGGTGGATTCTGTTATCCTCATTTTGATTACACCTTTTGGGTGTATGAGGCATGAAGAGGTCAAATAATTTGTTCACGTTTCCATAGGTAGTAACCCTCAGAGCCAGAATTAAGCAGAGCCAGAGTCTTAAGCAGTGTACCATATCGCTTTGACATCAGTGTCAGGAGCTCAGAGGAGAGGTCTAAGCTGGAGTTGCACATTTGAGAATCGTGAGCACCAGAAAGCATTTAAAGCAAGAAGACAGCTCTGGATTAGGAGAGTCCAAATCATAGGACCAAAGAATGGGGAGACAAAAGAGAGATGAGAAGAGGAAAGACAGAAATGTTAACAAATGGCTCAGTCGTTTGAGCATTTGTTATCTTGGCAAAAATGTCTTTGCTGGTTTAGGGCCAGAACTGCCTGATAGGAATCCAAGTCAGTTAAGAAACAACAACTAATGCTGTGGTTTTTTTCTCAAAGGTCTTATCAGGTAATCTCTGCTTTTACATCTCTGCCAATGTCTTCCTCTGCTCAGGCTGCTGTAACAGAACACTATAGACTGAGTGACTTAAACAACAGACATTTCTCACATTTCTGGAGACTGGAAGTCTGAGAACAGGTTGCCAGCACAGTCAGGTTCTTCGTGGGGGTCTTCCTGCTTTACCCAGAGGAGCCCCCCTTTCCTTGCTGTATCCTCACATGGGGAGGAAGGTGGAAACAGCGAAGAAGAGAGATTTTCTGTCTCTAGTTTTAATAAGGGCATTAATTCCATCATGAAGGCCACATCCTCATGACCTGATCAAACCCTAATTATCTCCCAAAGGCCTCATCCCTTAATAGCATCACAGTGGGGATTCAGAGTTCCAACATAAGAATTTTGGGAGGATACAAACATTTAGTCCTTGGCAGCTGAGTTTTAAGAACTAGCAGTTAAGGGAGCACCTGGATGGCTCAGTCAGTTAAACACCTGACTCTTGATTTCAGTTTAGGCCATGATCTTAGGGTCCTGAGATTGAGCCCCATGTCAGGCTCTGCTCTCAGTGAGGAGTCTGCTTGAGATTCTCTCTTTCCCTTTGCCCTTCATCCTGCTCCCACATTTGTGCGTTCTCTCTCTCTCTCTCTCTCTCAAATAAATAAATAAATCTAAAAAAAATTTAGGGCAGCCTGGATGGCTCAGTGGTTTAGTGCCGCCTTCAGCCCAGGGCCTGATCCTGGAGACCTGGGTCCCACATCAGGCTCCCTGCATGGAGTCTGCTTCTCCCTCTGCCTGTGTCTCTGCCTCTCTCTCTGTGTGTGTCTCTCATGAATAAATAAATAAAATCTTTAAAAAAAAATGAGCAGTTCAGGCTTCTGTAAGTACCTTGACAGAAGGGATATGTTTATAACAGCTGATTAAAAAATTCAGCAACCAGAACGCCTGGCTAGCTCAGTTGGTAGAGCGTGCTACTCTTGATCTTGAGGTCATGAGTTCAAGTCCCACATTGGGTGTGATTACTTTTTAAAAAATAAAATAGTTTAAAAAAATTCAGAAACCGTTATTTGTGGGTTACATAGCAAACAGATTTCCATTCTAAAATCATCCTTAAGAGTGCTTAGTAGATAACACATTTTATGTATTTTAAACTTAACAACATATACGGGTATGTGTGTGTCTGTTCACTCTGGGGAATATATTAAACACAAATTCCGGGGATCCCTGGGTGGCTCAGCGGTTTCGCGCCTGCCTTTGGCCCTGGGCACCATCCCAGAGTCCCGGGATTGAGTCCCACGTCGGGCTCCCGGCATGGAGCCTGCTTCTCCCTCTGCCTGTGTCTCTGCCTCTTTCTCTCTCTCTATGTCTATCATAAATAAATAAATCTAAAAAAAAAAAACTATCAAAAAATAAACACATATTCCTTTAGGAATACTAATGATCCTGGTCTTTTTTTTTTTTTTTTGAGATTTTTATTTATTCATGAGAGACACAGAGAGAGAGGCAGAGACACAGGTAGAGGGCGAAGCAGGCTCCATGCAGGAAGCCCAAGTGGGACTTGATCCAGGTCTCCAGGATCATGCCCTGGGCTGAAGGCCGCGCTAAACTGCTAAGCCACCCAGGCTGCCCCTGGTCTTCTTTTCTTTGCAATCTAAACCTCCTAAGCATATAAATTCTCAAATTTGATAAAGTTAACTAACCAAATTAAAGAAAACAAGCATTAGAGAAAGTCTCCCAGTAATTCCCTCCTCTAGAATTTTTTTGAAATTTATTTATTTAAGTAATCTATATCCAGTGTGGGGCTTGAAGTTACAAATCCAAGATCGAGAGTTGCGTGCTATACGGACTGAGTCAGCGAGGTGCCCTTCCCCCTCTAGAATTCTGATATGTATCTCACAGCAAAGAAGTTAAATTTTTCTAAAATTTTTACTTCCAATTTTTAGTGGACTCCTTTTTTGGCAAGGATAGGAGGTGGAGGAGGGATGATGTTTAAACACTGAGATGTTCACCATGTTCTAATGCCTTTGGGCCTAGTGTGAGCTCTACCTAGGATGCCACCCAATAGCAGATTTATCTTTTCAGAACATGTTCAAATGTTACTTGAACCAGAAAGGCATAACTGCCACACACTCTTCACATGGTAGCTCTTCAGCAACATGGCACTGTCTGAATGATTTTTGCTTTTCTGAATTCTTTCATATATCCTAGTTTCTAGAAGACTTACATATTATTAAAGAGAGAGAAACATGATAAGGCCAGGAGACCATCAAATTCTTAGCATTTTTATTTGAAATTGAAGTTCTTTATTTTCAGGGCTCCAAGTTATTTGAAACTTGGCACAAATTTGCCAAAAGTGGCCATTTTCCAAGAGCAGTATTTTGTATAGTCAGCAGCTCCTTTGCTTCCATGGCTCCTATTCTTGCCTCCCTCTGAACGGTATGAAATAGACTTGATGGGTTTGGTGAGATGACCTCATGTTATAGAACCACTTACAGGGACATCTGGGTGGCTCAGCAGTTGGGAGTCTGCCTTTGGTTCAGTGCATGATCCCAGGATCCAGGATCGTGTCCCACATCCGGCTCCCTACGGGGAGCCTACTGCCCTCTGCCAGGTCTCTGCCTCTCTCTGTGTGTCTCTCATCAGTAAATAAATAAATCTTAAAAAAAAAAAATAGAGGGATCCCTGGGTGGCGCAGCGGTTTGGCGCCTGCCTTTGGCCCAGGGCGTGATCCTGGAGACCCGGGATCGAATCCCACGTCGGGCTCCCGGTGCATGGAGCCTGCTTCTCCCTCAGCCTGTGTCTCTGCCTCTCTCTCTCTCTGACTATCATAAATAAATAAAAATTAAAAAAAAAAAATCTTAAAAAAAAAAAAATAGAACCACTTACAGATTTGTAAGTGTAAACATTCTAAGGTAAGAAAAAGTACATTTAATTTTTTCTTTTTATTAAGCTTTCTAATTTGCCTTAAGAGGGGTCGTATTTTATCAAGGTTAAGATGCCATCAGTTATGAGATACATTTCAATTTCTTAAATGTCATAATGTCTTTAAAAGATCCAGAAGTCATGTCAGTTGTTCTTGAAAAACTATTTGTTGTCAGTTTTCTGTCTGGTGTCTTTACATATTTACTTCCTTGAGAAAGGGCAAAACACTACTAATTTCCAGTAACTTCTCATTTTCCCCTACCAGTTGCTTTTCGACTCTATGACTTGGATAAAGATGACAAGATTTCCCGTGATGAACTGTTACAGGTAGGTGGGAGAGCTGCCATGCATGTGTACAACTTGTTTGGGCTCTGTTTGCTTGTTCTTTTGAGCGGAAATTGTTCTTTCAGTAAGCATTTATTTAACACATGCTGGTGCACAGTCCAGTGAAATGGCTGGAAACGTGAAATGGCTCATTGAGTTCTCCAAGCCAGATGTCTTTGCTATTTAAAAGCCAACTAAATGTCTCTTAGGTGCTGACTGGAAGAGCTAAACTATGCGAGATGGTCTAATTCAGATAGTTCAACTATTGCTTTATCAAGTTTATTGATGTCCAGGTAATTCTGGTGATAGTTAGGTAAATGCTTCTGTCCTGTCTGTCCCTGGGCTTGACATAAGAGTCAAGGAATTGTTGCCAGGCCGATGTACGCTGAGCCGACTCCTCACTGTCCTTTGTTGCTCTTGTCCTCCCACTAGCAGTGACTAGCATTTCATCCTCTTAGCATTGCCCTCCTCTTCCCTTCTCCACTTCCTTTCTTCCTTTTCCTTTTCTTTCCATTCCTTTTCTTTTTCTTCTCTCCCCCACTTTCTCTTTTTTTTTTTTTTTCTTTTCTTTAATATTTATGAGTCTGGAGGACCCTAGGAAGCTAATACATTCAGGAATTTCCTGGGGAGATTTCTCTATTTCAAGATACACCTAAAAAGTAAAGTGGGTTCCACTCACCCCAAAGGAAATCTGAATTCATTCAGTGTTTTGAGGAGTCTCCCAAGCTGAGGATTACTTGGCCAGATTAAGGACCAGCCTAAAGTATTCCTATATTTCTGTGTCTGAGCAAAATTCAAAACAGTCTGCAGGTCAGTGCTAGTGTTCTTTGCATTTTTTGTTGTTGTTCTTTGCTTTTGAGTTGGGGATATCTTTTTCTTCACTGAGAAGAAATACTTTATTGAAAATTGCTATATATGGGCTAAGTTCTGAGGAAAAAAGACAGAGGTAGTCCCTCTATAGTTGAATGCTTTCATCCGCTGGCCCAAATCTGGCTGCCAGAAAGATTTTTTGGAGTGGTAGATTGATTTTTGTTAGGATTTTTAAAAGCCAGAGGCAAAAAAAAAAAAAAAAAAAAAGGAGAGGCAAGGAGTAGAGAGATCATATATATGGCCAGAGTGCCAGTCAGTGCCACTAGAGTGTTCCTCAGGCTCAAAATGACTTTAGGACAAATATGTTCGTGGACTATCATGTCAAAGAGCTAGTTTTATCCTAGCAGAAAGAGGATATGAAGATCTTACCAACGTGAGAAGAAAACAAAGTTCACCTTTCTAGGCACTGCCATGTCTAAAATATTTGGAGATATACAGTCCTTAAGTATTCAGTGGATGTTTAAAAGTTCATGGTGAGTTTATCCTAAGGGAAGGTTAAGTGGCTATTCCTAGTGTGATTTTTAAATAAAAAGCCCTGGGGATTTGGGGGGATTTTGGGGGATGCTTGATATGTACATTATTCTTGATTGTGGTGGTGGTTTTATGTGTGTCTACATATGTCAAAACGTGACAGATTGCACATTTTAAATATGTATAGTTTATTGTATATATCAATTATGCTGCAATAGATGATAGTTGCTCTACTCTATGAGACTAGCGTAACTTTGATGTGAAAACCTTGTAAAGACTGCATAAGGACATTACAGTGCAATTTCTTTCATTCACATAGATGTAAAAATGCTAAACAAAATACTGATACATTAAGTCCAGCAGTTATACAAAGGATGCTGGACTTTAGCCAAAGTGGGTTTATTTCAGGAATTCAAAGTTGCTTTAAAATTAGAAAATCAAGGACCCCTGGGTAGCTCAGCAATTGAGCTTCTGTCTTTGACTCAGGTCATGGTCCCAGGGTCCTGGGATCGAGTCCCATATCAGGCTCCCCACAGGGACCCTGCTTCTCCCTCTGCCTATATCTCTGCCTCTCTCTCTGTGTCTCTCATGAATAAATAAAATCTTTTTTAAAAAATAAAATTAGAAAATCAATCAATATATTTTGCCACATTAACAGATTAAAGTAGAAAAATTGAGTTGTCTTTTCCACAGAATAAAAGCATTAGATAAAATTCATCATCCATTCATGGTTATTTTTTTTAAAGATTTATTTATTTATGATACACACAGAGAAAGAAAGAGGCAGAGACATAAGCAGAGGGAGAAGCAGGCCCCGTGCAGGAAGCCCAGTGTGGGACTTGATCCCAGGACCCAGGGTTCACGCCCCGAGCCAAAGGCAGACGCTCAACCACTGAGCCACCTAGCCATCCCTCCATTCATGATTTTTTCTAAAGATTGATTGATTGATTGATTGATTTATGATAGACAGAGAGAGAGAGAGAGGCAGAGACACAGGAGGAGGGAGAAGCAGGCTCCATGCACCGGGAGCCCGACGTGGGACTCAATCCCGGGACTCCAGGATCGCGCCCTGGGCCAAAGGCAGGCACTAAACCGCTGAGCCACCCAGGGATCCCCTCCATTCATGATTTTTAAAAAATGTCTTAGCAAGTACTTGCTTTGGCAGCATATAGAGTACAATTAGAATGATGTAGAGAACATTAACGTGGCCCCTGCACAAAGATGACACTCAAATTTGTGAAGCATTCCATATTTCTTAAAAAAAAAGTCTTAGAAAAACAGATAGAAGGGAGCTTTCTTACACTGATGTAAGGAATGTACAACAAACCTTACCAGATATTAGCAAGTGTTATGACAGGGGTGCCTTGCTCAGTCAGTTGAGCATCCAACTCTTGATTTCACCTTAGGTCATGATCTTGGGTTTGTGGGATCAAGCCCCATGTCTGGCTCTGTGCTCATCAGGAAGTCTGCTCAGGATTCTCTGCCTCTCCCTCTGCTCATTCTCTCTCTCTTTTTCTCTAATAAATAAATAAATCTTAAAAAAAAAAGTAGTAATAATAGAAGTCCTATTTGCTAATGAATTTCCAACTAGAACCCTGAATGGCTCTGGAATACTGACTGGGTGCAGAGGCCTGGCAGACAGTGAGAACCACTGGTTACTATGACCTGGATCAAGCCACTTCTAGGCCCTATTGTCCTCATTAACAGATTGAATGAGTGATTCTTCAGACAACACCATTCCTCTCCCCACAGGGCACACATGCTCAGTTCTCTAATTGTAAAAATAAAACTCTTCAGAGAATAATTGGACTGAGACCTGAAGAAGCTGCTATTTGAAGATGGACTTGTCTAGTCAGCCATACACAATCAGAAGATGGCAAATGGCTTGGCTGTTCATTATTTTTGCCAAGACTGCCTTTCTTTTTAATATTTTTGTTGTTGTTTTGAGAAAAAGAGGGGAAAAAAGAGCTTGTGAACTTGTGTGAATGGGGGAGGGGGAGAAGGCAAGAAAGAGAAATCCTCAAGCAGACTCCCTGCTGAGCACAGAGCCCAAGAGAGGGCTCCATCTCAGGGCCATGAAATCATGACCAGAGCCAAAACCAAGAGTCAGACACTTAACTGACTGTGCCACCCGGGTGCCCCAGATTGCCTCCTTATTGATCTTTCAATTTGTCTATCTTTGTACCTCCAAATGTACAACTTCCAATTTTCAAGAATCATTTTGTGAGGGGCACCTGGGTAGCTCAGTGGTTGAGCATCTGTCTTTGGCTCAGGTTGTGATCCCAGGATTGAGTCTGGCATCAGGCTCCCTGCAGGGAGCCTGCTTCTCCTTTCCCTGACTCACTCTCTCTCTCTTTCTCATGAAATAAATAAAATCTTTTTTTTAAATTTTTTTAAAGATTTTTTAAATCTTATTTATTTATTTATTTATTTATTTATTTATTTATTTATTTATTTATTTATTTATTTATTTATTTATGATAGTCACACACAGAGAGAGAGAGAGGCAGAGACACAGGCAGAGGGAGAAGCAGGCTCCATGCACCGGGAGCCGGACGCGGGACTCGATCCCGGGTCTCCAGGATCGCGCCCTGGGCCAAAGGCAGGCGCCAAACCGCTGTGCCACCCAGGGATCCCCGAAATAAATAAAATCTTAAAAAAATATTTTGTGAAAAGAAAAACCAGTATTGATGCAAATTAGTATTTCAGCTTTTTTTCTTTTCAGAAAATCCTGTAATTACTTTTCAAAAATCTGTGTCATGAGATTGGAGAAGGATGTAAAGGAGTGAGGAAAAGGAGGCCTATGAACAGATGGGCCACAAAGTCTTTCAATGGGAAAGCTTAGCTCTTACCTCTGAAGCCAGAGGTGACTGACTACAGTGATGGAAGGCATCACAAAAGCACCCTGTCCCCCATTTCATACTAAGAGGTTGTACCACTACAGTTGCTTATTTTGTTTAAAGTAGCAATTTTCCTTTTTTTTTTTTATTACTCTTATTTATTTATTCATGAAAGACACACAGAGAGAGACAGAGGCAGAGGGAGAAATAGGCTCCATGCAGGGAACCTGACATGGGACTCGATTCTGGGTCTCCAGGATCACACCTGGGCTGAAGGTTGGCGCTAAACCGCTGAGCCACCCGGGCTGCCCTAAAGTAGCAATTTTCAAAGTTATGTTTACAGCCTAAAGATGTTAGCTGAATTGGGGGGAGGGGTTCATTGTTATTTTTGGAGCAAATTTGGTGAAACAGTGTTCAATCTTCTTTACTAAAGCCCTTTAAATGTGCTTGTTATTTTTCTAAAAAGAAGGGTTTTATATTTAACTCTTCAAAGATCTTTATGTTTCTTGGATATACTTTAGGGATAGCTGGGTAAATGCGCTGCTTCAGAGAGGAGTGCATTCATGTGGGATTCCTAGAAAGCCCTACCAAACTGACTTGCCTCATGCAACAAGAAATCTGGGGCTAGATTATCTTGATTGATACAGAACCTACGTGATGTCCAGGAACAGGCTTCTGTATTCTTGCTCTGGTGTGTTTAACACAGAGGACTTTCACCTCACAGTCCCAGAATGGCTGCTATACCACCAAAGCATCATCTCTATATTCCAGACAGAAAGAATGGGAAGAGAAAATCCAAAGGACTCACCCCCCAGTGAAGCTTTGCCTTCCTATCCAGTGACCTTGCCAGAGACTTCTGCTTATTATCATTGTCTAGAATGGCTTAGATGAGAAGACAAGCGTTCCCACTCTGGCTGTCATATTTGAGGACAAATCAAAAGAAAAGAGGGTGGGAGTGGGCTTTTTCTTTTATCTTAGTAAAAGAGACCCCCTGGCCCCCAAATCTCCTGTAACTCTTGGTTTTTGGTCCTCTAGGTGCTACGTATGATGGTCGGAGTAAATATCTCAGATGAGCAGCTGGGCAGCATTGCAGACAGGACCATCCAGGAGGCTGATCAGGATGGAGACAGCGCCATATCTTTCACAGAATTTGTTAAGGTCAGTCAGTCACCTCTTGGTTTGAAAATATGAAGAAGTTTGAAAATTCTGCAGAGAATTTTCAGGAGGGAGGCAGAAAAACATTGAGATAAGAATTTGAGACAGTAGCTCCTGTTTTGACCTTCATCACCAAAATTGTGTTTTTCATCCCCCCCCACCCCCTCCAGGTTTTGGAGAAAGTAGACGTAGAACAGAAAATGAGCATCCGATTTCTTCACTGAAGGACTGAGACCAAACTGTTCCCTGCTTTCTAGTATTTAAGAACTGGAACTTGAGGGTCCTCCTATCCACTAGCCCCATCTCCACCCCATCATTCCCCTTCTTCCAAAGTACTACTGCTGTTGCATGACAACCCCAAATATGTTCTGTCAACACAAACCTGCCTTTGGTGTATAAACAGGGCATTAAAGAATGGTACACCAGTCTATTTCTGTTCAGTATCAGTCACCAGTTATCTCCATTTCTAAGTATCTCCCCTGGTTCGCTGCTGAAGGCCACATGTCCATCCAGTCTGAGAAAGTGAGAGAAGGAATCCATGCCAAGAACCAACCAGCAAAGCTCTTTCACTGGATGTAGACTACAGCCATGCTGCCTTCCCTCCAGCCGGGCTTTGGCATGCTCCTTCATCCTTTTTATATGTCCTTTGCTTCTTCTCTTTCACCCAACTTACCATTCTCTTAGTTCTTAAGTCTCCCTGCTTTTTATTAAGCTCTAGTCACTCTGTTCTACTTGGCACCCGAAGCTACACCTGTTAAATGTATTTCTGACTTGGCATGATAGTGCAGTTGTCTGGCAGTTTTTGTCTACCTTTATTCTTAAATGGGTCTCTGGGATGTTGCCTCTCCAGGAGCTTTTCTGTAACCAACATTTCTCTTAGAAGAAAGATCATCTCTTGGTCCCCTGCACTCTGCTCTGTCATCAAAAGGCTGTTGGTTGAAAATGTTCCTGTTGAAAGGTGGTGGCCTTGGTGAGAGGTGTAGAGCCAAGACTTCTAGGTGACTTGCCCAGGTCACTCTAACTCTGGCCTCTGATTCTCAACATACATAACACATGGCTACTCTTGTTAGTACAGTGTTGACTCCAGAAAATAGCCATATGCCTGCAGGTTTGCTTAGTTTTGTGATACCATCACCACCAGAATGGCTGCCCTGACAATAAGCTGAGGGCTTTTTTCATGGCTTTTTGAAGGAGCCTGTGTACTTTAAAAGCCTGGTGTATCCCTACTTCTGCAGCATGGTTTATGCCTCAGTGTTATGTGCCCTGGTACATTTTTCACTTCACATTTCCAAATAGGATGAGCAGTGTTAATGAAAGTGCCTAATTTATCCCAGTCCAAGAGATTTAAAGATTGTCCTCCGTGTCTTGAAGTTTTGCACAAAATCCTCAATAAATTTTACACCTGGCAAATGTTAATGCTGGAAGCCATAGTCAGCTCCTAAAAGAGGTCCAAAGCATTGAATGTATTATTATCATAATCTGCCTGGTTACATTGACCTCCTAGCGCCTCTTGTAAACCGCTAGTAATCTATTAGAAGCAAGGAGTCTGGCACCAGTGGCACAACCTGAGGTGGCAACACAGACCCTTCTTTGCCACACCAACTTCTTTGCCTATCCAACTTAGTATAGACCTCAGTGAATTAAGCTGCTGTCATCTGTCTTTGGGAGTCTCTTCGCCTATATATCTGCTCTTGGCTGATTTTCTCTGACTCATTGCTTGCTTGCTTGCTTGCTTGGTTGTTTCCTTGCTTTGGAAGGCTATCCAAGATGTATACACACTACTTTAGGAAGGGAATTGCTTAAAAACAAGACACTGCAAAAGGGATTGGGAAGAATTGGAATCAGGAGTGACCAGGCTGGATGACTCAAGTATAAATGACTGAGAAATTCTTGATGAAGTATTAGTCTGACTTTGTCATCAAGTGATGTAATATAGGAAATGCATAAAAGGGAATAACTTTCTGACACTGATCTGTTAGAGAGGTACTTCAGAGACTCCTGGACTTTTACATATTTAAAGTTCCTAAGATAATGGCTTTTTCCTCCTTTTGGCTGTATAGCAAACTGTTTTATTCCACAGTTGTGCCTTATTGTTCCATTTAAATTGTATTCTTTGATCCATCAATAAATACTTGTGGTTAAAATAACTTGGGTCAATTTTGTCTATGCGCTTTATAAGAATTTTATATAACTCAGTCCACTTCAAGTTTGAAATCCCAAACCGTGTTTCCCTTACTCAGGTTTATGTCTGTGCTATCAAATGCATGTTTGCTCTGTTGCTGCCTGGACATATGATGTATTCACCTAGGGACCAGCACTATGTGCTCTGGAGTGTGCTCTCAAGTGTTACCTTGGCCACTTCCCACTCCAGGTAGGATTCCATTTTTGTTCTTGACTCTCTGCCTTTTTAAATACAGAAAAGGACTAAAAGTGGGATATATGTTTACTGCTTGTTATTAAGTCATCCACTTCTTCATGCATTTGCAGCCTCAATGACGTATTATACCCAGCTATTATTACATGGCCTTTCACATCTTCGAGTCTCAATGACTCTTGGAGACTGGTTAAGCATCTGCTCTTGATGTCAGGTTCAAGTTCGGCCCCGAGTTGGGCTCCATGCGCAGCATGGAGTCTACTTAAGAAAAAAAAAAAAAAAAGACTCAGTGACTGCTTAGTCTGGAGGGTACGAATCTCTTAAGGTTTAGTGGCATGCCACAGGCCTCAAAGCAATAATAATAGCTGGAATCACCTATACAAATTCTATCACAATAGAATAGAATTGTGTTTTTTTCCCCATCTATCTGCCTCAAAACTCCATTCCAAATGGCTTGCACAGTGGTTAAGCTATGTTTCACTTTGAGTCTAATGTTAGGATTCAGTCAAGGAGGAAACTAGATGAAATGACCAAGCAGTCCATTTTGGAAAAAACAGTATTACTGACCATGGCCAAAGGAACAGCAGTCTTGTGACTAAAGCAGAACATAATCAGGCACGTGGGTGGCTCAGTGGTTGAGTGTCTGTCTTTGGTTCAGGTCGTGATCCCACGGTCCTGGGATCAAGTCCTGCATCAGGCTCCCTATAGGGAACCTGCTTCTCCCTCTGCCTATGTCTCTGCCTCTTTCTCTATGTCTCTCATGAATAAATCTTTTTAAAATAAAAAAGTAGAACATAATACTGTAAAAATGTGAGACGCCTGGGTGGCTCAGTGGTTGAGCATCTGCCTTGGCTCAGGGCATGATCCTAGAATCCAGGATTGGGTCCCACGTTGGGCTCCCTGCGAGGAGCCTGCTTCTCCCTCTGCCTGTGTCTCTGCCTCTCTCTGTGTCTCATGAATAAATCTTTTAAAAATAATACTGTAAAAATGTTATAAAAACATTACAGCATTAAATAGTTTGAGGAAAATTCACTTAACCAGCTTGATTTCTCTTGTTCCTTTCTGCTCTATCCATACATTACATATTTGAACATAAAAGGAACATAACACAAAGATTATATCAGTTTTTAAAAACTAACATATTTCCCTATGTGATCTGTTCTTCCTACTTTGTATTAATGTTTACATAATATTTTACTAAATTCATATAGTATTTAAGTATTACTCTGTTTATTGTTTCCAATTTTATGTTATAAATAATGATACAGGGGGACGCCTGGGTGGCTCAGTGGTTGAGCGTCTGTCTTTAGCTCAGGGCATGATACCGGGGTCCTGGGATCGAGTCCTGCATTGGGCTCCCTGTGGGGAGCCTGCTTCTCTCTCGGCCTATGTCTCTGTTTCTCATGAATGAATGAATGAATGAATAAAATCTTTAAAAAAATAATGATACAGTGAATACCTTTCTGCACATAACTTTTTTCTTTGAAAAGATTTTACAGGAGTGGGATTACTAGGTCAAATTTTGGTCATATACTTAGAGCTTTTGATATGTCTCCAAAGAAATGAATGTCAAACTGCCATAAGTAATTGAATTACTTTTTTACCTTCAGTGTTTTTTTCAGAATATTCTTTACTGTCATCTATTTTTTTTCAAATTGTGTTTAGAATCCTGTTATCAAGTTTTGTGTTTAAAATACTTACTAGGAAAAAATAAATAAATAAAATAAAATACTTGCCTTTGGCTCAGGGCATGATCCTGGGGTCCTGGGATTTAGTCCCACATTGGGCTCCTTGCAGGGAGCCTGCTTCTCCTGCCTGTGTCTCTGCGTCTCTCTGTTGTGTCTCTCATGAATAAATAAATAAAATCTTTTAAAAAAATAATAAAATCTTACTAGAATAGGGGCACCTGAGTGGATCAGTGGTTGAGCCTCTGTCTGTCTTCTGCTCAGGTCATGATCCTGGGGTTCTAGGATCGAGTCCCGGATCCGTCTCCCCACAGGGAGCCTGCTTCTCCCTCTGCCTATGTCTCTGCCTCTCGCTCTGTGTCTCTTATGAATAAATAAAATATTTTTAAAAGTTGGCTAGAATATGGCACACCTAGGTGTCTCGGTTTAGTGATCAACTCTTGATTTGGCTCAGGTCATGATCTCAGGGTCATGAGATCAAACCCTGTGGCTGGCTCTGCCCCTCCCCCACTCTATTGCATCTTCTAAAACTAAATAACCTTTAGAAATAAAATAAAAGTTATTAGAATTGATCATGTTGATTAGGACTTAGAGCAAGCATTCATTGCAAAGATGCCTCAGAGAAGACTATCTTTACATTTGGTTTCTTATACTACAAACCATGTATTTATCCTGTTTACCAAACACTAAGAGTAGAATTGCTTGGAAGGAAATCATTACTGGACTGAAATTCCCTAAATTCACATTATTTTGGCTTAGCTTTAAGTCAAATGATTCAAATTAAATATAGCTGGTATTTTCTAATACAAATCTCTTTAACATCTAGTTTAGTAGAAACTTAAGCTTAAAGACTTTCTTTTCCTCTGTACCAAGGAGTGATAGGAGATTTACCTGTAAGTTTGTGAAGTACTGCAGGCCATTTCTTCCCAGCTCTGGGATGGAGCAGACAGTAATGAGCCTCATGTCTTTTAAGATGGAATAAGTAACTAGGCTGACATCTTTACCTGAGGTATAAGCTGATCAAGGACTTGGTCTTGAGATGCCAAGACTCAGTTGTTTTTTTTTCTCTATACTATTCAGTCTTCAACATACTAGATTCTGATCTCTTGTCAAAACTAGAAAGACCGTGGAGAGATAGTATTGACACTTTACACCACCTTTTACAATCTATTTAAGAACTGAACCAGGGACGCCTGGGTGGCTCAGCTGTTGAGCATGTCTGCCTTTGGTTCAGGGCGTGACCCTAGGGTTCAAGGTCAAGCCCCATGTTAAGCTCCCTGCTCAGTGGGGAGCCTGCTTCTCTCACACCCTCTCTTTCTTTGTCTCTCATGAATTTTTAAAGATTTTATTTATTCATGAGAGACAGAGGAAGCAGCAGGCTCCGTGCAGGGAGCCAGATGGTAGGACTCGATCCCGCGACTCCAGGATCATGCCCTGAGCCGAAGGCAGACAGATGCTCAACCACGGAGCCACCCAGACGTCCCAATAAATAAAATCTTTAAAAAAATAACAAAACTGAACCAGGTAGATGAATTGTTATGTTCCTGTACCTGAATGTGGCTGCAGAAATAAAAATTAATCCAAAAAGTTCTCTTGGCTGCTATAATAGATATCAGGCACCATTTTAAACATTTAGTTTTATTCACAGAAAATCTCTTACTCCCTAAAACACACAATCTCTTTAGAAACAATTTTTTTTTTAAGATTTTATTTATTCAGGGGGATCCCTGGGTGGCGCAGCGGTTTGGCGCCTGCCTTTGGCCCAGGGCGCGATCCTGGAGACCCGGGATCGAATCCCACGTCAGGCTCCCGGTGCATGGAGCCTGCTTCTCCCTCTGCCTGTGTCTCTGCCTCTCTCTCTCTCTCGCTGTGACTATCATAAATAAAAAATAAAAAAAAATATTTTATTTATTCATGAGAGACACAGAGAGAGAAAGAGAGAGAGAGGCAGACACAGGCAGAGGGAGAAGCAGGCTCCACACAGGGAGCCTGACATGGGACCCCAATATCACACCCTGGGCCGAAGGCAGGTGCCAAACCGCCAAGCCACCCAGGGATCTCTTAAGATTTTATTTTTAAGTAATGTCTATACCCAATGTATGACTTGAACCTGAAGCCCCAAAGATCAAGAGTAATACGCTTTACCAATAAGCCAGCCAGGACCCCCTCTTAGAAACTTTTTTTTTTTTTTTTAGAGGTGAGGGTAGGAGCAGAGGAAGAAGGAGAAAGAGAATCTTAAACTAGGCTCCACACCCAGCATGGGGCCCAGTGTGGGGTGCAGTCTCACAACCCTGAGATCATGACCTGAGTCGAAATCAAGAGTCAGATACTTAAACTGAGCCATCCAGGCAACCCAGGATTTTTTTTTTTTTTTTAAGATTGTATTTCCTTATTCATGGGAGACACACACACACACAGAGAGAGAGAGAGGCAAAGACATAGGCAGAGGGAGAAGCAGGCTCCATGCAAGGAGCCTGACACAGGGACTTTGGGATCATGCCCTGGGCTGAAGACACGCTCAACTGCTGAGCCACCCGGGTGTCCCTCTCTCAGTATGTTTTATACTTTTGGTGTATATATCTTGAATTTGTTTTATTAAATTTTTTCTAAGTATTGTATTCTTTTTTTTTATTTTCTGATGCTATTGTGAATGCAGTTGTTAATTTCATTTTTTGTTAGTGTAGAGAAATTGTTGATTTCTGTATACTTAGCTTGTATTCTGCAACCTCATTTAACCTAGAAATACCAGTACTTTTGTTTTTGCTCTGTGTGCGCGCATGCATGCTCTTTATGGTTTTCAACAGAGGATCACATCACCCACCTGCAAATAAAGGCAGTTTTGTTTCTTCCAGTCTTGATGCTTTTTGTTTGCCTTTTTGCATTGGCTACACCCTCCAGTACAATGTTGAATAGAGGTGAAGGAAGCCTCTGTCCTTGCTTGGTTTCTGATCTTAAAGGGACAGTGTGAAGTCTCAGTATTAAGTATGGTGTTTGTTTAAGTAGGTTACATGCCCAAAGCTAAGCTTGATCTCAGAAGTCTGGGGTCAAGAGTAGCATGCTCTTCTGACTGAGCTAGCCAGGCACCTCCATTTTAACTGAAGATTTTCCCTTAGTTGCCCTTTATCATTAATCTCTGTAAAAATAAGACTCCTTGGCTTCATCCGAGGAGTTTGGGAATTGGATCTTAGGAATCCGTACTTCTAGGAAGCAGCCTATTTAACAGCCTTAGTGGTGTTTGAGGACTTAACATCTCTTACCTGAAAGCCGCCCGTGGCACCTTGTAATAGCAACTTTTAATTACCCTTCCTGCCTCTCCTGGAACAACCCATATAGAAAGGATCTCAAGAGCCCTACAGCTAAGTGTAAGAAGCAACAAAACTCAGTTATAACGGTTTGACATTTGGCAGAAGAATCTTCAAAGAATTTGTTCTGTACTGACCAGAGCTGGAAACAGCGGTCTGACGTTTGGACCCTTTACGAGTGGAAATGAGTCAGAATCAGATGCAAGCCGGAGCTATTAAATTGTCTGCATAGGTGTGGTATTATGCCCAGGATTAAAAGCTCCCAGTCGGAGAATTAAATTATTAGCAGTACAGTTGAACCTAACCATGGCTTAAAATTGTCATGCGACCTGGCAGTCCGGGTGGCTCAGAGGTTTAGTGCCGGCGTCGGCCCGGGTCGTGGTCCTGGAGACCTGAGATCGAGTCCCACGTCCGGCTCCCTGCATGGAGCCTGCTGCTCCCTCTGCCTGTGTCTCTACCTCTCTGTATCTCTCATGAATAAATAAATGAAATTAAAAAAAAAATTGTCATGCGACCTAGCCAGACTACCTTTTCACGAAGTGATACAGCTTCTACGCGGAAATAATTTTACATTTCTAACAAGTGAACTACAAAAACGTTTTCCCCGCTTACCTTATCCCTGGGACCCAATCCGACCAAAAAAAAAAAAAAAAAAAAAAGAGGCTCCAAGAGTGGTGTCAGCAGTACTGACTGACGTACTTAACCAGCCTACAGAGGGAAGAGAGTGCGCTTGCGCAAGTCCTTATCCAATCAGGACCCGGCGGCAGTGGTGGGGGCGGGGTTTGTTGAAACGGCCGCCGCAGGGTTGGAGGACTTGGAAAAGAGCGAAGATGGCGGAGTGAGACGTTCCGCTGCCAGCCGGCCGTTGGGCCGGGGGCGATAAAGCCCCCGGACGGTGCAGAGCTTCTGGTGGGTTTGAGGTAAGCGGAGAGAATCAGCGACGGGGAAGTAGCAGGAGGTGGCGCGGCCCAGCCTGGCCGGGGAACGGGAGCGCGCGGAGCCTGCCTGCAGCCGGCGCGGGCCTCGGCCTGGCGCGGGTTTCCTTCCGCGCTGCCTCGGGGCGGCGGTACAAGCCTTCCGGGGTGTGTCGCACCAAAGCCTCGTCCTCTACCCGCCGCTGCCCTTCTCGGTGCTTTTTTTTAGCTGCCTTTGTGCTTTCGGCTTGTTCCCAGGTGATTGCACCCACACAGGTGTATATCTGCCGGTCGCTGCGTCGTCCAGCAGTTTTGAAGAATTCCTTTATTTTATTGATTTTTTTTAAAAAAGAAAATTCCTCGCCCCACGGCTTCGTGCCCACTGTTTTGCCTGAGTCTCCGATATCAGTCGAGTTCTGTTGGGGCCCTAATTTGTGTCCCCGGTCCATTGACCTTGAGATTCGATGTACCAGGTTCTCCCCCGGGATTTGTGTGTATCGTTCACATTCTCTTGCTACCTATCCATTCGTTACCACTCCCACCCTTCAAACTTTTAAGATCGGAGCAAGCGTCTTTGTCCTTCTATGACCAGGTAATTGCTTAATGGCGCATTCTTCTCGACTGAGTCTAGGTCCCCACAGAATTCACTGTTGTTTTCCAGAATTAAAGGAGCCAGTGTTCAATTTTTATTTATTATTTATAGAGATAATGAGAAAGAGTTTGGGGAAGAATGTAATTTGTGTAATGTGGGGTTGCAAAGTATAATACTGTCATTTGGGGCAGCCCCGGTGGCTCAGCTGTTTAGCGCTGCCTTCGGCCGAGGGCGTGATCCTGGAGACCGGGAATCGAGTCCCAAGTTGGGTTCCCTGCGTGGAGCCTGCTTCTCCTGCCTATGCCTCTGCCTCTCTCTCTCTCTCGAATAAAAAAATATTTAAAAAATTACTGTCAGTCGTTTGTATTCGGTTCTTGTTTATTGGGGTTTTCTTTTGTAATTTGGGTTTTTATAACCCCTCATTCGTTCCTTCAGTTAAATTCTTGGAAAGTTTCCTGTTACTAGGTTTCTGAATTGGTGAAGCCTATTTAAAATTGGCATGTTACGGGATCCCTGGGTGGCTCAGCGGTTTCGCGCCTGCCTTTGGCCCAGGGCGCGCGATCCTGGAGTCCCGGGATCGAGTACCGCGTCGGGCTCCCGGTGCATGGAGCCTGCTTCTCCCTCTGCCTGTGTCTCTGCCTCTCTCTCTATGTCTATCATAAATAAATAAATAAATATTTAAAAAAAAATAAAATTGGCATGCTAAAAAAATAAAAAATAAAATTGGCATGTTAGTTGGATCCAGTTTAATTGATGTGTCATAATAGGAATGAGTGTTTCTGTATGCTCTTTGCTGGTCCTTGATTTAGCCACACTGGAAATACTTTGTAAAGAAATAGCTTCCTTATAAATAAGACCTTTCATTGGCTTTAGTCAGTTTTTGTTTTTGTTTTTGTTTTTTCAATTTCATCTAGCAGAAGAGAGATACACCAGGCAGAGGAAAGGAACAGAACATTATTCTTTCCTATCTTATAACGGGTGTGGTCATCTATATTGAAGCAAAAGTCTCTTGTGAGAAAAAGGACCACAGCATCATCAGATTCTTAGTGGGAACCACTAATTGAAGAGCTTTGACATCTTTATTAAATTAGTTCCAGTGTAGGTAAAGAGTAACTTCTGACTAGTCCTTTTTTTTTTTAAGCTTTTATTTATTTATTCATGAGAGACACAAGGAGAGAGAGACAGAGACATAGGCAGAAGGAGAAGCAGGCTCCATGCAGGGAGCTCAATGTGGGACTCAATCCCTGGACCCCAGAATCATGTCCTGAGCCGAAGGTGGACGCTCAACCACTGAGCCACCCAGGCATCCCTCTGACTATTCGTCTGAATTTTTTTTTTTTTTGGAAAGATTTATTTATTCATTTTAGAGAGGGAGAGAGCCAGAGAGAGCATGAGTGGGGGGAGGAGCAGAAGGAATGAATCCAGCAGGCACACATAAACACACACAGCTGAGGTTGGAGCCCTACCTGGGGCTAGATTCCAAGACCCATGATACCATGACCTGAGCGGAAACCAAGAGTTGGACCCTCAAACAACTGAGCCACCCAGGTGACCCATGGTGATGTTTTTTCAAATAGTTTGGTTTATTTGAATAGTTTTACACAGAAGCATATAACGTTTATATTTTTCCTTATCACAGGAAGAACATTTTCTTTGGCGTCCAGGTGCTTTGGTATTCGTCTTGAGAAGAAAACAAAATTCTGAACTCAGGATTTGGCAAGTGAGTAATAATAGTGGCTAATGCTTCCAGATACTGTTTAAGCAGCTTGAAAAATAGCTAGATAGAACAGTAAGCTTCTTCAGAAAATGAATATCAAAAATGACTAGAAATTATTTACATTTAAGCTAAATCTTATATTTTCAGTAAAGGCAACATATCAAATATAAAAAAGAAAAGAAAAACTTGATCATTTGCCCAAACCAGTAATTTTTATTGGATAAAGAAAAAGGTACAGATTTAATTAAATTGGAGATCAACTGATAAAATATAAATGTTACTAGGGAAATATCTTTTTATTATTTTTTTTCTTAAAGATTTTATTTATTCATGAGAGACACAGAGAGAAGGCAGAGACATAGGCAGAAGGAGAAGCAGACTCCTCGCAGGGAGCCTGATGTGGAACTCAATCCCGGAACTCAGGGATTGCATCTAAGCCAAAGGCAGACGCTCAACTGCTGAGCCACCCAGGTGTCCCACTAGGGAAATTTTAGAATATGTTCACTTGTTGGAATTATAGATAAATATTGATATTTTAATCTTTAATTTCTAAAGCTTTTCAGTATGCCTTTTCAGTATGCCGTTACTAGATGTGAGTCTATTCTATGCCAAGTGTCGTTTTCCAAATTTACCACAGATTTAAGTATGTTCTTCTGCTCAAAGAGCAAGCGGTGATACATGCTTTTATAATTGATAATAACCTTGTCTGTAAAATCGGGTTCATACTTACTATATTAGTTTCCTAGGGCTGCCATAACAAACTGGGTGACTTAGAACAACGGAAATAAATTGATATTGTCTCACAGCTTTGGAGATAAAACATCCAAAATCAAGGTGTTGGCAGGGCTATAGTCCCTTTGAAGGTACGAGGGAAGGATGTGTTTCAGGCCCTTTTTCTAACTTTTGTTGGTTCCTTGGCTTGTGGCAGTATGACTCTAGTCTTCACATGGCATTCTCCCTGTGTATATGTCTGTGTCCTAAGTTCTCTCTTTTGAGGGCACTAGTCAGGTTAGGGGCCCACTCTGCTCCAGAATGACCTCATTTTAACTATACCTGTAATGACTATTTCCGAATAAGGTCACATTTTGAGGTACTAGGGATTAGGACTTCAATTTGTGAATTTGTGGAGGACACAGTTCAATTTATAAGATCTACTTAGTCATGTACATTGATTGTATTACTTGGAAATCATTCAATGTACAGCAGCTTTAAGGATTAAAATATTGTATATCACTTAAAAGGTACTTAAGAACAGTCAAAATCATAAAGACAAGTAAGTAGGATGGTTGTTGTCAGGGGCTTCAAGAACGTGAAATTGGGAATTATTATTTAATGGGGGCAGAGTTTCAGTTTTGCAAATGAAAAAAGTTCTGGAAGTGGAAGGTGGTGATGCTTGCACAACAATTTGAATGTACTTAATACCACTGAACTGAATACTTAAAAAGGGTGAAGATGGGGCAACCCTGGTGGCTCAGCAGTTTAGCGCCGCCTTCAGCCCAGGGCGTGATCCTGGAGACTGGGGATCTGGTCACACGTTGGGCTCCCTGCATGGAGCCTGCTTCTCCCTCTGCCTGTGTCTTTGCCTCTCTCTCTGTGTGTCTCTCATGAATAAATAAATAAAATCTTAAAAAAGGGGGGGGGAGTGAAGGTGATAAATTTTAAATTATGTGTATTTTACCACAATAAAAACAAATTGAAAAATAAGTAATTAGAAAATTCCAGCTATACAGATAGTCCCTGACACCCCTTAACAATTTTTTTTGCCTTTAAGGAAAAAAACTTTTTTAAAGATTTTATTTATTTATTCATGAGAGAGAGAGGCAGAGACACAGGCAGAGGGAGAAGTAGGCTCCATGCAGCTCCTGATGTGGGACTGGATCCCGGGTATCCAGGATCACGCCCTGGGCTGAAGGCGGTACTAAACCGCTGAGCCACCCGGGACCACCTTAAGGAAAAAAAAAATTTTTAAAGATTTTATTAAAAGAAGATTTTATTTATTTACTTGAGAGAGAGAACACACATGCAGGGAGAGGGGCAAAGGGAGAGGGACTCGATTCTAGGACCCTGGTATCATGACGTGAGCTGAAGGCAGAAGCTTAACCAACTGAGCCACCGGGCATCCCAACAGTTTTTTGCCTTTTTGGTGGTGTGAAAATGGTACATATTCAGTGGAAATCATACTTCAGTTTTTAAATTTTGACCTATTCCCTGGGTAGCAATATGTAGTATGATGCTTTTATGGTGCTGGGCACTGGCAGCAAGCCATAGCTGCAAGTCAGCCATGTGCTCCATGAGGGTAAACAGGCAGTACACATATAATGGTTGTGTTACTCACTTTTAGTACAGTATTCAATAAATTCTATGAGATATTCAATAATTTATTTTCACATAAGCTTTGGGTTAGATAAATATGCCCAACAGCAGGCTAATATAAGTTTTCTGAGCACATTTAAGGTAGGCTAGGCTAAGCTATAAGGTTTGGTAAGTTAGGTGTGTTGAATGCATTTTTGTCTTAGGATATTTTCAACATAGGATGGGTTTATCAGATCATAAGGAAGATCTGTATTACAATATTAAGAAAAGGAATAAAAACTGTTAGGACAACTTTAGGTGATAGAGTACCATGACTTCACAGCAGAGGCTTTGTTACTTGAATTTAGAGACTTAATTAAATCCAGTTAGATAGGGGGCGCCTGGGTGGTGCAAGTTGGTTAAGTGTCCAACTCTTGGTTTCAGTTTCAGCTCCTGTCTTTTTTTTTTTTTTTTTTTAATTTTTATTTATTTATGAGAGTCACAGAGAGAGAGAGGGGCAGAGACACAGGCAGAGGGAGAAGCAGGCTCCATGCACCGGGAGCCCGACGTGGGATTCGATCCCGGGTCTCCAGGATCGCGCCCTGGGCCAAAGGCAGGCGCCAAACCGCTGTGCCACCCAGGGATCCCTCAGCTCCTGTCTTGATCTCAGGGTTGTGAGATTGAGCCCCACGCATGTTAGGCTCTGTGCTGATTGGGATTTTCTCTCTCCCTCTCCCTTTGTCTCAAACTTGTGTGTGTGTGCCATGCCCACACATTCACCCTCTCTCTCTCTCTCTGTCTCTCTCTGTCTGTCTCTCTCTCTCTCTCAAATAAATAATTTTTCTTAAAGATTTATTCATGAGAGACACAGAGAGAAAGGCAGAGACACTGGCAGAGGGAGAAGCAGGCTTTTTGCGGGGAGCCCCATATGAGACTCGATCCTGGACTCTGGGATCACACCCTGAGCCAAAGGCAGATGCTCAACCACTGAGCCACGCAGGTACCCCAGGTACCTTTAATACTGATCGCTTTAATAATGATATGGAATGATCACTAATATACATTGAAGGGAAAAGCAAGGTGCAGAAGAAGGTGTATGTATAGTATACTTTAATTTGTAGGGAGAAAATAAATCTACTTACACAGATATTACATAACCTTAGAATATCTAAAGGATATGGAAGAAACATTGTATATCCGCTTGTACCTTTTCTTATTATGTGCTTTTGTTACCTATTCAAATAAATAATTTAAAATTTTCAAAGAATAGAAGCACTCAATAAATGTTGATTGGCTGAGAAGTTAAATTTTTGCTCAGGCAGTGATTTTACATTAGGAGAGTCTATCTATTTCTGGAGGCAGAAACTGCCCAGGAGGCCCAGTAGAATTTTAATGAAGCACTTAAAAACTTAACTGGAATGATAAGGATATCCACTGTGTTTTGTAAAATATGTTCTGTATTTATATAGCAAAGTAAGAATTTTTATTTTTTAATGGAGTACTTAACTCCCTTGATAGATTGTTCTTCCTGTCCTTAAAGGAAGCAGTGTATTAGTTATCTAATGGTACATAACAGATTACCTAAAATTAAAACAACAGTGAACATATATTATCTCTCACAGTTTATGTGGGTCTGGCTTGGTTCTCTTCTAAGGTTGCAGTCAAGATATTGGCTGGGATGGCAGTACTTAATTCCATGGTGGTTCATTACCATGGTTGATGTATTCATGCTGGTGGTAGAAAGCCCTTGTTCCATTGTCAGCCTCTTCCAACGCTGCTTGAATGTCTTCCTGATAACAGCATCTATCTGGCTTCTCCCAGAATAAGCAGCACAAGAGAACAGTGCTAAAGTCACAGTCCCATCTATGACTGTCTCAGAAGTCATTCATCATTTCTTCCTCGTTCAGGTGGTCACTATTTTCACACCAATTAGCATACTGCAATAGTGTTCTGACACTAATCATCCAGAGTTGATGCAGACCCCACAAGTCAATGCACAGGTCCCAGCAAGATTGCCCTCACTTTACTATATGGAGGTTTTGCTGTTTTTGTTTCTTTAAGTAGGTTCAATACCCTTGAACTCATGACCTTGAGATTAAGAGTCACGTGCTCTACAGACTGAGCCAGTCAGGTGCCCCAAGACTGCTCTCACTGTAGGAGATAGGCACACTTAGGAGGATTCCCAGGCCACCTGCACTTCTGATCAATTGGCTGCAAATTCAGGGGTTGTCAGAACCGAATTTTAGTTTCATTGGTTTTATCTATTTTTCTGTTCTCTTATTTATCTCTGCTCTGATGTTTATTTTTTCCTTCCTTCTTGCTAGCTTTGGGCTTAGTTTATTCTTTCTCTAGTTCCTAAGATTTATTATTATTATCATTATTATTATTAAAAGATTTTATTTATTTATTCATGAGAGACACAGAGAGAGGCAGAGACACAGGCAGAGGGAGGAGAAGCAGGCTTCCATGCAAGAGCCCGATGTGGGATTCAATTCAGCAACTCTGGGGATCCCTGGGTGGCGCAGCGGTTTGGCGCCTGCCTTTGGCCCAGGGCGCGATCCTGGAGACCCGGGATCGAATCCCACGTCGGGCTCCCGGTGCATGGAGCCTGCTTCTCCCTCTGCCTGTGTCTCTGCCTCTCTCTCTCTCTCTCTCTCTCTCTGTGTGACTATCATAAATAAAAAAAATAAAAAAAAAACAATTAAAAAAAAACAATTCAGCAACTCTGGAGGCAAAGGCAGATGCTCAACTGCTGAGCCACCCAGGCATCCTGGTTCCTAAGGTTTAAAGTTAGGTTGCTGGTTTGAGGTCTTTTTTTAATGTAAGCATTTATAGCTGTAATTTTCCTTCTTAGCACTGGTTTCACTACATCCCATAAGTTCTGGTTTTGTGTTGTTTTCATATATCTCAAGGTATTTTCTAATTTCCCCTGTCATTTCTTCTTTGACCTATTAATTATTTAAGTCTCTGTTATTGGGCAGCCTGAGTGGCTCAGAGGTTTAGCGCCGCCTTCAGCCCAGGTCGTGATCCTGGAGACCCGGGATCGAGTCCCACGTCTGGCTCCCTGCATGGAGCCTGCTTCTCCCTCTGCCTGTGTCTCTGCCTCTCTCTCTCTGTGTGTCTCATGAATAAATAAATAAAATCTTAAAAAAAAAAAGACTCTGTTACTTAATTTCTACTTGCTCATTACTGTAAATTCCAAGGATTTAGAAAAGGTGCTCTTCTTTGGTGCTTGTTTGGTTTAGATAGAATTATTTTAGGGCAGCCTGGGTGGCTCAGTGGTTTAGCACTGCCTTCGGCCCAGGGTGTGATCCTGGAGACCTGGGATTGAGTCCCACATTGGGCTCCCTGCATGGAGCCTGCTTCTCCCTCTGCCTGTGTCTGTGCCCCCCCACCCCGTGTCTCTCATGAATAAATAAATAAAATAAAAATAAAAGGGCCTGCTATCTTTAAAGAAAAATAGATTTATCATTTTAACACTTTTAAATGTACAGTTGTATGGCATTAAGTATGTTAAGTATATTCATATTGTTGTGCAATCATCACTACCTATTTACCAGAATTTATTAATCATCCCAAACAGAAATTCATCAATCAGTAACTCCCCCTCCACTGTCCTACCAGCTCCTAGTAACCTCTTCTTTGTCTATTTTTGGTACTTCATGTATATGGAATTACACAGTATTTGTCCTTGTTTGTCTGATTTATTTTGTAAACATTTGTAGGGTTTTTAAATTTTTTTTTAAAGATTTATTTATTTACTTATTCATGATAGACACAGAGAAAGAGAGAGAGAGAGAGAGAGGCAGAGACACAGGAGGAGGGAGAAGCAGGCTCCATGCCAGGAGCCCACGTGGGACTCAATCCCGGGACTCCAGGATCGCGTCCTGGGCCAAAGGCAGGTGCTAAACCGCTGAGCCACACAGGGATCCCCGGGTTTTTAAAATTTTTTTAAGATTTTATTTATTTATTCATGAAAGACACAGAGGAAGAGACATAGGCAGAGGGAGAAGCAGGCCCCCTGCACAGAGCACGATGTGGGACTCATTGGATCCCAGAACTCCCAGAACTCCGTGATCATTCCCTGAGCCAGTGCTCAACCGCTGAGCCACCCAGGTGTCCCAATATTTGCAGTTTTAAAAATGTTTTGTTTAGCAATGAACTGCTAATGTTTTTACATGTTTATATTTGTGACCATGGTGTAGTACACACTATTTTACTTGTGAGTATATCTTACCAAAAAAAAAAAAATGGATTTTTTTTTTTTAAGTTTTATTTACTTATGTAATCTCTACACCCAACATGGTACTAGAATTCACAACTCTGAGATCGAGAATCATATGCTTTTCTAACTGAACCAGCCAGGCACCCCTATTTTACAAGGTTTTTCCTGTTGGTCTTATGTTGTTGAAGGTAATTCAAAGTAAGATGATATACATGGTTTTGAGTATAAGTATTTACATCAGATTTGGAGTACAACTGCTTTTAAATACAGATGTTCTGTGTAGAATCATTTTATGGCTGTAAAAACTTGGAGTACATTATTTACATAATAGAAAATGGACATGTGTACCTTTTTTTTAGAAGGAAAGCATGCAAGGGGGAGTGGGAGGAGGAGGAAGGAGCAGAGGAAGAGAGAGAGAGAATCCTAAGCGGACTGCACAACCAGCGTGGAGCCCAACATAAGGCTCCATTTTAATGACCCTGAGATCATGACCTGAGCGAAATCAAGAGTCAGATGTCCTAACCAATTGATCCACCTAAGTAAGCATCCCTAGATACGAATATCTCTTATTCTATAACACAAGCTTTTATATAAATATAACTTTTGTATTATACTTAAATATTTTTTTCTGACTATTGCTGCTGTTTTGATGACAGTACTGAATTTGGTGTTATGGTTGGACATTTTCTTGTAGACAATGTGTAATCTAAAATATAATTTCTGTGTGTTTTTAAATATCATTCTTAAAAGTAAGCTCATGCAGAACTACCTGTCTTAACCTTGCTGTTTTAAATTTATTTTGTATTTCCAGGGATTCTCTGTTGTCTCCTGGAGTAGGTAGTCCTCCTTTTTATCCAGCCACTTTCCCTATTCTTGAAATGTGGATCTCTCCTCTACACATTTTTACCTCCATGATTTGGATCAGAAAAGGCTGCTTTTCTTTTTGTTCCACTTCTCAGATTCAACCTTGAGAAGCTCCTAGGATGCAATTGTCTTGCTCAGTTCTCCAAGAAGAAAGAAGCAACTGACCTGCTTGTTCTGCTTTTTTGCCTAATTATAAAGAAATTATTTTGGAAGCTGAAGCTGATGTTAAATTTGAAACCGGTGCTTTTAGATGTTGGTGTTTGTGAATTCTTTACCTTTTGTTCCAAACAAGAAGACTAAATAAATAGCAAGTATGGATGACATCAGGTTTTGTTTTTTTTTTAATGTCTTCTAGTTTCAGCTACTGTCATAAGCACAGTTGAGTCTGCAAGGAGTAAATTCCAAATGTGCGTTCTAATATGAAATGAAAGAGATGGTTAAAAACTACAGATATTAAATATCTAAATCTTGACTCATCCTGTGAAGTACATTTGCTGGAAAAGAACAAAGGTCCAATTTTGCAGCAAAACCTTTGATGTGACAAAGAAGCATAAAGACAAGATAATGTGAGGTTAACAGAATCTCTGTAAAATACACATCTTTACATGTGTAAATCTACATTTTGGACAAGAAGAGGGATTTTTCTCCTAGAGAAGGAAGTTGTTGTTGGCTTCTATCTCAGAAGTCTTTGGACATTTTTAAATGATTTTTCATTTTCCTAAGGAAGGATCACATTGTACATTTGCTAACTCTATGAATGCATGCTTGGGTTTACTGAAAGGTTGGAAAAGGGAAACAAAACAGCTAGTTTCAAGTCCAGTTGGAACCCTGTTCACCTCCCTCAGATGAGAGAGGCTGCTATATTGCAAATAACTTCATTCTTTTTTTGGACTCTTACATGTACTTGAGACTTGGTTTTCCATGCTGCGAAGGCAGGAACAAATGTGGCTTAAGTGGTTTTTCTATCCAGAAAATATGGCAGATCCTCTAGTATGACCTGCCTTCAACTTTGGGCATGGAAGAAGGGGAGGGGAGTTTCCAGTGAAAAAGAAGCAAAAATGCCTTATGCAGCTCGATCTGACTTCATGGCATTTTATATTCTGTAGCTCCAGTTTTCTAAAAACATAACGTTTTTCCTTTGACCCAAGATGGGTACTTGGATGTTTGGTTTATTTTTCCAAGTGAGGTGTAATGTTAGACTATAAAGGCTGGGACTCAGGTAACTTTCCCCAGTTGGAACTGAACTTTCTCATCAAAGAGTGGACTTCATTCGCAGTGTTCCCAAATTTTGTAGTTGATTTAGAAGAAATTCAGGGTCTAGAAAAAAACCTCGAACAAGAAAAATAGTTCAATAAAATGTGGATTTTCTTTCTTCCCCTTAAAACTTAAACCATGTGATGAACAGACTATAGTGTAAAGCTATTCTTGCTTCTGAATCAACAGAGGACCAGAGTATATGCATTGTCAGTTCTTTACATAAAAGGAAAGAAACTTTGAGTCTTTGTGAGAAAGAATTTGAAACTTCTTAGGTGTAATTAAGAACAAATTATCTTAGATCATATCTGTGATTTAGGGAATTTGCCTAGGGTCATACATGATGTGATGCTAAAAACTTAGGGCAGATTTACCAAAATTTAGAAGTGATAAAAATAGCCCAAAATGGAAATTGTTGAGCACTCTAAATGATTGGTTAAATTGGTCAACCTATTTGAATGGACATAAAGCTTTTTAGTAAAATAATTATATAATATAGATACAATTTCCTTTGAGGGCAAATAGTTGTAAAGCATAGAAGTAACTGGATAAAGGTAACTTAAATTTTTCTCTAAGTAACTTCTCTGCCAACTTCCTGATATTTTCTTTTACCGTCTTAGAATTTGTTAAAGACAGAAAGGAACCTACATACATGAGTCCTATTGGTAGGTTGAGAATTTATATTCTCAATTGTCTTTTACCCATCTTCCTCATATCCCTTTTGCAGTGTTTTTGGGTAGGATCATTTGGCAGGGAATAGGGACTTCATACTGTCAGTACCAGTGAAACCATCTCTGGCGCATTTGTTTGAATATGTATCAGACTCATCTTCTCCAGTTGCTTTTTATTTTTTATTTCATAGCTATAATAACCACTGAATTCTCTCGTTGAAGTTATTCTTTGTATCTTTAATGGTTGTCACCAGATAGTATCTAACAAAATGTGTATACGCCAGGGTGTACTAACCCAGTGTTTACTTAATACGCCTACATTTTTCCCCTCGTCTATTTTGTCCCCTTCTTGATGAGAAAAGCTATAATTTTAGGCAGGACTACACCTCAATCAGTAGCTGTGCCTACTTCCTTCTCTTTGCTCATCTATGTCAGCTGGCAGTTTTTCTTTTAAAAAGTTAAATAAAAACGGGATATGTGCAATAGAAATATATATATGTATATTTTAATACTTGTGGACAAATGTTACAAGTTGTTTAAGAACAACAAAATCACCAATGTCTTCCATTTTGAGATGTGTATAGTTTTGTAAGCATTAGTGCTTGGTAGCATATTGTAGTGCCATGTTAGGGATTAGTTAGTGCATGAGCCTAGTAATAATTTAAACTTCAGGATGAATTATTGATAATAACCAATAGTGTAAAATGAGTGGAAATTGAGACTTTTTCTTTTTTCATAAATATCTGAATCGTTATACTCTCCCTGGGGAAAGGAGATTAAGGCCAAAAAGACTCATTTATGAATAGAACTGTAGGATCACAGTGTGAGATATTGTGTTTGAGGATAAGCTTTCTCTGAGGTAGCTGGAAACCAGCTGCCTTCATGTCTTATGAAACCTCAAATCAAATCAAAATGAGGCCCCATTTCATGATTCTGCTTGCTCTCTTAGTTTGAAGTATTGTTTTTATGCTGTTTTCACATTGTGTGTCTTGTAGGTTTATTATTTAATACACTCCTTTTGCATCAAGAAATTATTTTTTATTTTGCATGTCTTACTGAGATGTTATGTTAGTCTAGTCGAGTATTATTTTTCTATCCGCAGACCATTTATGTTTCCTATTTGCAGCATGCTAATTGTTAAGGAAGAACACTGATCAGTAGTTCTGTGTACTATATTAATTTGTCACAGACTTTTCCTATTTCATGATCTGAATTGTGTGTTGATAGGATTCCAGACCTTTTCACGAGAATTGGAATGTAGCTATGTAGCTAGATGGAGCCGATGCAGGTTATCATGTAATAACTATCTATTTTGCTTGGTTATAGTAAACCACTTCAGCGCTCACTTTTTTCTGTGTAGACATAAAAGTTGTTTTGTTCTGAAAGCATAAGATAGCTTTCTGTGGAAAAGAAATTCCTCTAAAAGCTGCCTTGAGAACTTGAAACGGGCAGTTTTCTGAGGTGATTTTTAAATCTCAGTATTAGGAGAGTTCAGGATTTATTGAAAGAGATTGTATAGTTACTATGATATGAAATGCAAAACTAATGTGGTATGTCTCCTGTACAGAAGCAAGCTTAAACAAATAGACTCTGCAGCAGCAGGTATCCAGGGACCCAGGTTTAGATTTTCATAGTGTACTTAAAGTAGTTGTACTCTTGGCTCAAGTAGTTTAGTGCCTGGGAGAATCCAAAAAGCATTTAAACATTTAAAAAAATACCTCTGAAAAGGTGATGAATGCAAAATAGCACAGTATATAGGAAAAGATATTTCCTATTGCAAAAAATAAATAAAAGCCATAAAATGAATAATAATTTTCAAGAGGTAGAATTTTAGTAGCAATAACAGTTTTGCATATATAGTACATTGTATTAGCAAAGTTGTACAGTAGAATAAATATTACTACTTGAGTTTGGTGAAGCTCTGTGATGTGACCAACAGAGTTGCACAAAAGGAAGAAGATGTTTTAGGCAAAGAACATAAAAGGTACTTTTAAAACTGAATGTATGTGAATATATCATTGTGTGAGAAATAGCAACTTTTGTGTAAGTTTAAAGGTTAGATACCCTATTTGTTTCCTATAGCAGAGGGTTAGAGCCATTGAATGAAATTTTTCTAGTGGTTAACCTGGAAACAAATGTACTACTGATGTAGCCCCACTGAAGCTATCATGTGGGGATTTTGCTTATGATACTCTTTTCAGCAATAGGCATTTACAGAGTAGCACACTCTGTCACCTTTTCTTTTCTCCTTTAGTTTTTTTTTTTTTCCCCCTGGGTGCATTTTAAAGTTTGTTGTGTGTGTATGTTTGGATTAAAAACAAACCAAGAACTTGAATAGCTGGCTTTTCCTTATGCCTGTGGTTAGTTTAGGGGAGTTAGAATTTAACGATGTAAAGCAAAGAATTGAAGGGAATAGCCAAAGACAGTATGTTGATTTTTTTTAAACCTTGCCTGATGTAGCTATGCTGAGGATTTTGGTCTCTGACTCTTTATTTTAATAAGAGCCCAGCAAACTAGTTTCTTGATCTAAGGAATCACACACCTCACATCAGGATGTAGTAGTAGAATGGAAGCTTACTTCTTGCTCCCTTTTACCTTGTGTTCATTTTGGCCATTTAGCACCTTGAAGGTCCCTGAAAAGATTGGGTCTATATTCCCTTGTTTTTCAAGGGTAAAAACTAAAAATGGTGTGGATTTAAGAAAATAGTGCCTCTTGAATAGTTAATTCTTATATGTCAACTCCAGAGGATAGGGAGAAGGCTATGAAATTGATTATAGCTCCTCTTTAAATGTCCTACACCATCAGTTGGTGTTAGAGACATTGGAATAACCAAGCAATATTCAGTCATCTGCAAGATCATGAGGACACCGCTGTGTATTATAGTGATGTCAACAATTTAGTTACTTAAAACAAAGACTACCCCTTAACAGCCACGTTAACAGTTGTAAATGTTAAAATGAGCTACAAGTTTTTGTAGTCTCTAAGTACGCGGTTATTATTTTTCAATGTTGTTGTCTCATGTTTACTTTTTGTGTACCTGTGATATGCAAAAGATGAAGAGACCCTTGGCCTCCAGGAGTTTACATTCTCATGGTGCTGCTGGTGCAAGCAAATTACTTCTAGTTTATTCAGAACATTGCTTGGCTATTAACCATATGCTATGTGGAAGAATCCCTTGGCCAATAGTTTTCAAAAGCAGAAGTCTATGCGAAATTTCAGGGCATTGATTTTGAGTTTACATTATATTAGCTGTGCTGTTCATAAACTCCTTTTCCCCGGGGGCTGTGCAGATAAAGGTCATTAATGTGAATCACAAACCATTCTGCCTAAGAGCATCTTCACCATCCCTGTGCCACCTATGCTCTTCTATGCTATAGCTGTCAATAAATGGCCAA